TAATAATAATAATAATAATAGTTTGTCTCTAAGTGTAGCCCTGCGATAGACTGGCTCCAGCCGCCCGCGACCCTAGTGAGGATTAAGCGGTGTATAGATAATGGATGGATAACAACAACAACAACAACAACAACAACAACAACAACAATAATAGCAATAATAATAAGAATAATAATCACAATAATAATAATAATAATAGGAGGAGGAAGAAGGAGAAGTTACAGTCTGCTGCAGTGAGTCATGACGTTGGGAAATTAAAAGGGAAACACATAAAATTCTCCAACTGTGAAATTTTGCGGTTGTTCCGCAGTCCAGATGTGCGGTGCGCCTCCACAACACCCCCGCGCAGCGACGTGAGCACGCAAAGACTCACCGAGAGAGGTGCGTCAAGTCTGACAAAAACAACACACGCGCACCGGAAACCACGAGATCCTGGCTTCACAATAAAACCAAACGTGGCTGCAACATGAGGAAATTGTTCAGTTTGAATCAGGAAAAAAAAGGATTGCCTGTTCGGTGCACACAACAACAACTTGCCCATATATATTCATATATATAGATTTACATCGTTTATCAACAGGCCTCCCTGTTTTTGCCTGTTTCATGACTTTAAACACAGATGACTTTCTCACACTCTTCAGTACAGCGTCAACTTGAAACAAGATGAATTCCTGCCACTTGATAGGCTGAAAAAAATAATCAGGTGATTCAATAAATGACTGAACTGATAATGAAAACAACATTTACACCACAATGTAATGATATTATTTAATGATTGCATTGACAATCATCAAAAAGCACGAATCAGAAGCTGCAGGAACACAGACATCAGCGTCCACAGTCAGGCTTGTTTCACATCACCGTGAGCCGAGAGGCAAACAGGAAGCCTTCATCCAGAAACAGCACCTTAAGGCTAAACGGATCACATGGACAGAGAAAATGGCCTCTGGAGGAAGGTTCTGTGGTCCGATTAAACAAAAATTGAGCTATTTGGCCACAATAACCAGACATATGTGTGGAGGAAATAAGATGAGGCCTTCAATCCCAAAAACAAGCCAACCCTAGCATCAAGCATGGCGGTGGCAGCATCATGCTCCAGGCCTGCTGTGGGGCTTTACATAAAGTCAGTGGAATAATGAAGAAGAAGGATTACTTAGAGAAAATCTAAAATCACCAGCCAGAACAGAAGGTTGGGTCTTGGACGGAGGAGGGTGTTCCGACAAGACAATGAGCCCAAACACACAACAGTGAAAAAGAAACGACTAAATCCAGCTCGAATGAGGTTTTGGACCGATATTCTTACTGAAACCATATAAAAAATAAAAAAAAACATGTACACTGTGATGAAGAAACAAGTGTGTGTCAGAAAGCCAATAAATTCAGTGTACTGGGACCAGTTCTGTGAAGAGGAGCGGTCAGAGATCCAACCGGCAGCTTGTATGTGGCTAGCAACAGGTGAAACTAGCTAAAGAGCACTTAGCCAGACGAGCGAATTCGCTGTGTGTATATTTCTCACCCAACAGATTTGATTAGACTTCCAGAAACACTATTTAAAATCTATGAAAGAACCAGAATGCATGTTGGTTTTTTATGTGACAAAGACTGGCGTGGTCCAGTGACTCCAGAAGAGAAAATGTGAAGTTCTAGGAGTCCCTGGAGAGTCGAGCCTGCTCTGATAGAACTTCTGTCTACAGCTGTCGGAGCGGTGGAGCTTCTGGGAGCCTTCCTGCCGCCAGCTGGTCAAACCAACAACCCCCCAGCGCGCCCCCCTGTGCGGCTTTTACTGTCTCCGCCGGAAGCTGCGCGTGCTCACCGCGCGCCGCTCGACACCGACGACTGAAGGAAAACGGAGCAGGAGAGCGAAACATGGCGACTTCGAACAATCCGCGGAAATTCAGCGAGAAGATTGCTCTGCACAACCAGAAGCAGGCGGAGGAGACGGCGGCGTTCGAGGAAGTGATGAAAGACCTGAGCATAACGCGGGCAGCCCGGGTAACGACCGCCGCTTCTCGCCCTTACCCCCCTCCAGCCTGCTGCCGTCTCTCGGTGTGTAGCAGCGAGCTGTCAGATCTGCGTTAGTCGCGCGGCGGCGGCGGCGGCGGCGGCACGCGGCCCGGGCACTAGAGGTAAACAATAACAAACGACGCTTCCGCGGGGCTGGAGCCGGACCGTCACCGGACAGCCGACAGAACCGGCGGGAGGCGTCGGTGCTGGACGGTGGATGTAAAAAGCCAGAAAAGTTATCACGTTTTTTATTATTATTATTTTTTATTTTTTGTGTTTGTCCCACGCGAGCAGAGCAGAAAGCGGAGGGGCGTGCGTTTGACAGCGCGCGCGGCCAACAGCAGCTACGGATCTTCTCGCTCGTCTCGTGCGCTCACAGAAAAATAATTGTAAAAAAAAAAATTAAAAAGCTGAGACACGTATTTGGGTGATATTACATAACTCGTGTGTATTGTGCGCACAGCGAGGCGTGTGCGCAACTTGTCCGACTGGTCCGCGGGCCTGTGCGCTCACATTTTCGCCAAAGATGACGGCCAACAGATTATGAGGAATTTAAGCCACATACAGCACACAGGCCTCCAGAACAAATCCCGAGCAGGCAGCGCTTCAGCGGGTGGACGCGTGATGGGCACACGGAGCCAAACACGAAGCGGGCTCTGCTGGTGCGGTGTCAGTCAGGAGGAAGAGGAGGAAGAGGAGGGAACGCGCATGTGGGGAGGAATATCCTGATACCTGTGACATTTGCATCGGTGCAGCCTTTAACACGTTCCTAGGAATCTGTTTGTTTAGTTTATGGTTATAAATACAAGAGAATGCAAATGTGGCCTCATTGGTAGCCAGAACAAAGAAGAACAGCTCTCAGATCAGATAAAGAAGGCATGTTATTTAATCAATGATCTCTTTATTGAATTTTCAAACACAAGAATCAACAACCTAAAGAGTTCCTTTGTGCATTAAACAGCAGTATAAAGTAAAAAGTCGTAGTGAGCACCAGGTCTGTGCAGAGACAGTTGGTACAGAGACAGCCCAGAACCCCAAAAGTGAAAAAGACAAAGCGACCAGAAACAGACCAAAAAATAAAACACAAGACAAATCAATCTGCAAAGCGTTCCCAGTACAGACCAACATACACAGAGTGGGACATGGCATGTTGTTTAAAGCAGGTGTTGTGGGAGTGGATGGTTTCCTGATCGCCACTAATAACTACAATCTAACACCCCACAAGCTATCTGGTGAATCCGTAGTGTCAGGGTTACTTTCTTGCTATTATAAAGTCTGTTTTAGGATGCGTGTCTATCCCTCAGAGACAGACGTTCAGAAGCTCCCATCCAGGCCAGAGTCAGACCCGTGGGCCTCAGCTTCAGAGCTCTACCCTCCTCGCCCGTCGCCTTCCTTCCCCCCCTTTTATTTCCACCCTCTCCTGTCTCACTACCTGCCTGGTTTGTGGTTTGAAACGATCTGGCTCGGCCTCCCCCTGATCTCCTGATGCTGCAGCCTGTAATCCTCCGCAGCAGAGGAGATGCTCGTGTAGTTAAAGAAATCAACTCTGTGGTCGGAAGGCTTATCGAAACACGCTGCTGCTGCTGCAGGGAGAGTAATTGTTATTATTAGATTTTCTGCCCTGCCAACAGTGAGCTCGCAATGAGACAATTAAATTGACCGGTTATGGGTTCCCCTCACTGGAAATGGAACGGGAGGTTTTTCTCTTTGAAGTAAACGCTGTGGTGAGACTGGAGACGGTCTCACATGCAGGTGGAGTTATCTCTTCACCATACACTTGGTGACCTCTCTGTGCTGCTCTTATGACGAATGTAGATGCAGCAAACTTTGCCAGAATTGCATCTAGTGCAGCGCTGAACGATATGCAGAAGAAATAATCTGAAAACAATTCTGTGAGTTCTCTGCTAGACGAGCTTCATGTCTGGAGGGTGTGATAGGCTGAGACGTCGCTGCAGCACCACGATGCTTCGTTTAAAGTGCTGAGACATATTTGACCTTCTTTTTTTTTTTAATAAAAACTGAAGCTTCCGTGATCTGGATATTGCATTTGTCCTCAGTGTCATTGTCCAGCCCTAACCTGGTGGTTATCAGTAAATATAGTTTCCCTTTCTGCTCGTGTTAAAATCAGCAAATGTCCTGCTCAGATTTGGGACCTCAAACAGGTGCTAAGTAAAGAAAATATCAATTAACAGGACGTTTCAGTGCTGCCGTCTGTGGAGCACAATCACACAGTTATGAGGAAAATCTATAAACGCTCCTGCAGCAGATTACGTCCATTAGTCAGTATCAGCAGCACTGTTCTAGATCTGCGCTGCAATTATAGCTAATCTACTTTTTCTGAGTATTTCCTTCTTCTGTTTAGTTCCTATAACTCCCTCTCCGCTCACCTGACGCTGTTCTTCCTGCAGCTACAGTTGCAGAAGACCAAGTACCTGCAGCTGGGACAGAACCGTGGGCAGTACTACGGAGGATCTCTGCCAAACGTCAATCAGATTGGAAGCAGCGCTGTGGACGTGCCTTTTCAGGTGAGCCGTTGCTCGTGTTGTCTCGTATTCTGAGGAGAAACCCATCTAACTGCACATTATTCATTCACTACTGTCTCACATAAATAAACATGTTCTGTGCTCGTCTATGTGGCTGAATAACATCCTGCAGCATCGATTGGTTGCTTTTTTTATACTCTGCATGCTTCTTGTTTCCTGGACTCAATCTTCTGCTGCACAAGAAGAGCACTTTGTTTGAAACGACTAGTTAAAGAGAGGACGAACACACCAAACCACAGTCTGCATTAGGTCAAGTCAGCCTGACTTATATACCGCATTAGAACAGCAGAGGTTGACCTACAGCGCTTCCTATTTGAGATAACACATTACAGTCATACATTTATACATATAAGCAAATGTACTCGACTGAAAGAAGTAAAAATAGAAGTACAGATGGTCATCTCAGGACGCGTTAAGGTCCAATGTGTCCAAACGGTCGATGCAGTTTGATCTGGAAAGAAAACCGCCGGTTCCCTGGCGTCTGTTTGCTTCAGCACGGTGCACCGCCGCCGCCTGCTCAGAGCTCTATAATCATAATAATAATACGTTTTATTTGTTGGCACCTTTCAAAAAAAGCTCAAGGACACCTTACAAAACATCGATCATGATAAGACTGTAATTAGGCACCAACAGAAAAGCGTCAGCGTGGATGTGACATGAGTGGGCTACAATAGGATCATAATGGGCGTGCTGCTCTGAACAAACGGGCTCTGAGGTGGGATTTGGACTGTGCGCTGGAGTTCTGCTGATGGATGTGAGTCGAGGTGCGGAGCAGCTGACGGCTCCGACGCCGATGAAGTCGAGTCTAGAAGTTGGAGCTGACAGCAGAGCAGCAGAGGGGGATTATAGAGGTTACTTGCTGTCAGAACCAGAACCAGAATCAGATTTATTGCCAGGTATAGTTTACACAATAATTAGTCCTGGTGCATCGGTGCAACAATAAATATAGAGTAAGGCTCAATGTACAAGATAAACATAGAAAAATAGCTAAAAAAAATAAAGTAACTACAAATAAAACTAACTGTAATGATACAAAGCAGAAGCAAAACAGAACCATGAAACTGTCGTATTATTTACAGGAGTATTGATATTTACATTTATACAGATTTCATCAGTTAGTCAGATCCTCACTTGTCCCCAGAATGTGTCTGAGCTCAGAACACTTCAAATATGATTAGTTCCCCTGTGACTGTATCACTCCAGCTTTTAATCTGGTTATAAACGGGCTGGTTCGGTGTCTGCTGAGCTGCTGCTGTCCTCCTCAGGAAGAAGACTCTCTCTGGGTCTGTAGCCGACCACCTGGTGAATGAGTCTGAGAGACCAGGACTCTCAAGCATCTCTGACTTCCTCTGTGAGGGATTATTAGTAGCGATGCACCAAACATCGGCAACCACCTCGGTATCGGCCGATATCAGTGTTGTTTCCCATATATCGGTATCGGTCCGATGAACCCATTTAGCCGATAATTGTCTAACATCAGCGCCTTCGTCTCTACGTTTGATATCGCTGCTGTTTCACAGATGTTTTTACTTACATGCTCCTGGACTTAAAGATGTTTAATATGTTTTACTTTTGTTAATAAAGAAGACTATGTGGTCTGATCTGGGCTTCTTCTGAATAGTTTTCTCACAGTGTTTATTTATACTCATTTATCAATGAACAAAAATTGAATATCGACATCGGTAATATCGGTTATCTGCGATATCAGAAATCTTAACATCGGTATCGGCCAGACATTTCAACATCGTGCATCACTAAATATTTTACATTGACAACAGAAATAGAAAAGTAAATGAGAACAGCTTTAATGGGACTTTAGCTCCGTGTTAGTGCAGTATGTGTGAGCACAGAGAGCAGGAGAGAACAGATAACCGGGTACATTTCACTGGTAAAACTCAGGTTTTGTGTGAATATTAGAGAGAACGGCGCTGCAGTAATCAGTTCGATAAAGGATAAGGATGTGAAATAGGGAACTGTAGCGCTGATCAAAGGTGATGTGCAGAAATATCGTCTGCTCGTATTTGCTGCTGTCAGAGCTCTGCACCAGTATTGTTTTTTATTCATGCTGTGTTGATGATCTATAAGAAGGAGAATTTGGCACTAACACCTTTAAACTGCTGCTACTGCTGTGGTTTAAGCCGTAGAACCAAAGTAACAGGCAGGTTGTTTTCTGTGGAAGGAGCTGCAGCTCTGTTCGTTGTAGGTGCGCTAATTAAACGTCACGGCAGTAACTGAAACACACTGTTTATGCCATAAATTAAATGTTGTAAGCATCAGCAAAGTATGTGTGTTTTCTCACTGTGGGAACAAACATAACAAGAGACGTCGGCCGTGAGCTGCAAAGTGGAACGAGCATGAATGTGGTAGAGTGGAAAGAAAAACCTTGAAAGTTGTGTGTAATTTGTTCAAAATACAAAAGATCAGATTTCATGTGAATTAAAGAGCGCAAACTGCTTTTTAAAAAAATACAAAACTTGCTGTGATGCATTTGTGCCATGTCCACACTTTTTAAACGTTATATTCAACGGAAACTGTGTAAAAATAAAAGTGGTTTGGTCAGTTGTGTACACGTCCTGTTGAAGCACTGCGTCGTGTCAGTGCTGCTTCATGTGTCCGTCTGTAGACATGAGAGAGAAGAGCTGCTTACGCTCTCATTCTTTTACCCGAAACGCTCTGAAAGTAAACTGATGTTCACTTCACACTGAGCCAGACCGTCTGTGGCATTTGGGGGGAGACAGACTGTAGATCAGTATGAACATCTGTACAGACAATAACAGAGAATAAGTCTGTGACATTTATTTATTACAATAGAATATAATATTGTTCTTCTACAGTGTAATTGAGGCTCTCCTGTTAGCAGCCCAGTCACAAACAGTTGAATAGACCAAATGGGCACTTTCCAGGTTTTTCATTTCTTTGGATTTTCCAGTCTCCTGTAGTCGTTCTTGCCCTGAGCTACATTAACCTTCGTCCCCATTCTACAGATGTCGGGTTTATTCTCTGGCAGCCGCGGACAGTGCAGCTGGGGCCAAGTTTTAAAGTGCAGACTACCTCGGCTGATGCAATGCTTTTGTAAATTAAAGGCTTCAGACTCTGAAGTTCCTCTCCGGTCACTGATTCAACCCCGAAAAGCTCATGTCTGTGTTTCAAAAGATACATATTTAGAAGCTTGTTTTTCCATGAAAATAATCCCTTTCTACCTTGAAATGGCTTTGATGTAACTCGACACTGCTGCCTCTACAACGTGCAGGTCTGAGTCCCCGTCTTTCTGCTTTACGCTGCACAGCGGCGAGTTGTACTGCTGGAGTAACTCAGCCGAACATGTTTGAGCTGTACGGTGGCTCGGTGGTTAGCACCATCGCCTCGCAGCTAGAAGGTCGCCGGTTGGCGTCACGGCGAGGACACCCGGGATCTTTCTG